CTCTCTCTGTCTTTTGTCTACTCTCTCTGCTCTCCTCTCTTCTTTGTCGCCTCTCCTCTGTCTTCCTGTTCTGTATCCCTCCCTTCATTCTCTATTTCTCTCTCTCTCATCTCTGTCATTATTATCTCTTTCTCATTCCTTCTCCTTCCCCCCCTCTCCTCTCTCTCATCCTCTTTCCTATCTTTCTTATCTCTATTCTCTCTTTCCCACGTTCCTTCTCTCTGCCCTGCCGGGCCCGATAGTCCCTTCCCCCATACCACCATTCTCGTATCAGAGCACGGATGGCGGAAGCAATATTGTCAGTAGGGAAGAGGGAACGAGGCTGTATGAAGGATGGCGAGGGACAGAGAGCCGTTGCCAAGGGTCATGTGATGAATGAGATGGGCTCATGGGAGGGAAAAAAAAAGCAGGGAGGACAAACAGGCGCGAAGGAGGACGTCGAAGGTGTCTGTGAAGAGTGAGGAGAGAGAGGGGAGGGAGGAGAAAGGGAGGAAGGAGAGAAAGAAGAAAGGAGCGAGAGTGACGAAGAGAGAGAGAGATAGAGATGAAGAGACGAGAGAGAGAGAGAGATACGAGAGGAGAGAGAGAGACGAGAGAAAGAGAGACAGAAGGAGAGAGACATCGCTGAAGAAGACGAGAGACAGAGCAACAGACAGACCGGACAGGACAGACAGAGCATGACAAAGAGAGATAGAGAGGGAGAGAAAGGAACAGAACCAGAGAGAGTCATGGGAGAAAAGAGCAAAAGAGAAAACAACGCAGACAGATAGAAGTAGAAGGAAGATTAAAAAAAAGAGACGAAAAATAATTATAGGATAATTACCACAGATAGATTAAGTTAGACAGATAATATAGATAGGATAGTTAAGATAGATAGGTAATTAGAGTATTAGATTAGATTAGAATAGATAGAGTTCGATGGATAGGCGAGAGAGAGAGAGCGGATGAGCAAGACCTCCCTCCCCCACCTCCCCCCCCGATCTAGAGTTAGACAGAATAAAATTAAATAGAGTTAGACGGATAGGTTAGATAGAGAGAGATAGCGGAGAAGAACCTACCCCTCCCCCACCTCCCCCCCCGCCCGTGACAGACGAGGCGCCGAGCGAGTGCAGTTTCCCCACGAGAGGCTGGACCGAAACTGGGTATGTGCAGGGATGCGACGTTATTGAAACGCGCCGTTACTTGAGTTGTTTATTACCGAAGCCGTGATCCCTGGCTTCGGCAAAATCTGTCCGTGGAAGTTTAAAGTTACACGCGCACGCCCACGCACTCACACGCAAAAAAAAAAAAAAAAAAAAAAAAAAAAAAAAAAAAAAAAAAAAAAAGAAAAAAAATAAACAAAAAACCTGGGACTCCGGCATTCATCTCTCTAAATACGCGCGCACGTAAATGCACGCACTACAACGCTGCGTTATCGTATCGTATATCCATTTACGGCGCCGTTTTTGAAGTAGACTATCGATTCGCTCTAAAATGCGTTATTTACGAAAATTACGTTCGGGGCGATACGTATGGGCGGGGCGACGGGGACGACAGTGGGAGGAGCCAGCACGTCACGTGTCATTACGCGTCACATATGGAATATGTGCCGACCATGAAAAATATATTTAACGAGACTCTTTCGCCTTTCTCTAATACTCGTGATAGAATGATAAACAGACAGAATCTCCTCTCTCTCTCCTCTCTCTCTCTCTCTCCTTCTCTCATGATACTGTCTCTCTCTCTCTCTCTCTCTTACTCTCTCTTCTCTTCTCTCTCTCTCTTCTTCTCTCCATGCTCTCCTCTCTCTCTCTCTCTCTCCTCTCTCTCCTCTCTCTCTCTCTCTCCGCTCTCTCTCTCATCTGCTCTCTCTCTGCATATCAATACTATTAGTAATAATATATATAATATA